CCGATGAGAAAATGAAGAGACAAAAAGATTAAATAATTTGCTCAAGATAGTTATACAGCAGCCAGTGTGTAACTCAAGCAGTCTGACTACAGACTTCAGGCTCTTAAGCTCTACATATGGTTAAGTGCTCTTAAGAACTTTGACACAGCATACCTCCCACTCATACTCTCTTAAAAAAAAGGATACTAGGGTTCAGAAAGGTGAGGTGTGAAATAAGCTGTCTTAAGTCAGTGAGTGCTAGGTAGGGGAGAAATAGTCCACTACTGTGACTTCCAACCACTCACTCTATGCCATACTACTTTGTCAGTCTAACTTATCAAACTCTGAATGAACCAAAGACACCAAGAAGGCTTCAAACCTGAGGAAAGTGAGTCTACCCCGCCCAGCTCCCCACCCAGTTGCAAACTTCCTGACTCAGTGGATGAGCTGTCAGAGCCTCCACAGACAGGCACACTCTAGTTACATGATGCTCACGTGTCTTTCTCCTTCTCAGAACTTTCATACTCCAGGAACACGATGTGCTGGGGGTAGTGGCCACAGATATCCCCATTCACATTTTGGATCACACTGTAACAGTAGTCTCGGCCAAACAGCTCCAGACATCTCTTCTCAATGCGCTCAACCTGCACAGAGGAGGACACCTGAGCATAAAGAATATTCTGGGATTCTGAGTATGAGAATTAGACAGTTCGTGACCTGGACAGGTCACTGGGAATGACATGTGCCTCAGTGATTATTATTCAATGCCTGGAAGAGACACTTTGCTGGGACACAGGCCCTGATGTGTATTTCATTAATCTATATGCAGTATGCTTTGGGAGGGTCTCTAAGCCCCTCAGTGTTGCAGTGAAACTGTTAAGCATTCCAAGCAAAGGATTACAGTTTTCATGAGATTTTCAAGGGGGTCCACAATCCATAAAATATAAAGAACTCTTGCTCTAGGTTACTTTAGCACTAATCCATTTTCTTCCCTTGGCTCCAGATTATTCCCCATTCTACAGCCACAGACAAGTACCTAGACATTCTAGTTGTTGTAATGAGTAAAAGCTACACACAAGGCTATCTCCCTACACTCTATTTGTCAAATAGAAGGAAGAGCTTCTCTTAAAACTGTTCTTGTTTAGTTCGGGGAAAGGTCCACTAGAAAAAAGGCATAAGACATGTAATATCTTGAGAAGTCAACAAGAGATCAGGAATCTTGGAGAGGCTTTAAGGCCAGATGTCGTGAAAGTCAGGTCTAATTCATAACCACTCTAATCTTCAGGGGTATAAGATGGAAGAGGAAAAAACTCACAGTGGCTTAGATGAGGAATTCTCAAATTTTAAGATACATGAGGATCATGATGAAACCTATTTAAAAATGTAAATTCCAAGTTGCCATCCTCAGAAATTCTGACTCAGTAGAAATAGATGGGAGCAAGGAACCTTTATTTTTAACAATGCTGAAACGGGCATCTGGGTGGCTCAGTTAAGTGTCCGACTCTTGATTTTGGCTCAGGTAATGATCCCAGCGTCGTGGATAAAGTCCCACATCCAGCTCTGTGCTGACAGCATGGAGCCTGCTTGGGATTCTCTCTCCCTCCTTCTGTGCTCCTCTCTCACTCGTGCTCGCACTCAACTTTCTCTCTCAAAAATAAATAAACTTTAAGAAAATAAAATAAAAAATAACTCACAGACCAAAGTTTATTTATCCAAACGAAAACAATTTAAAAAAACAAACAGGGACACCTGGGCGGTTGTCAGTTAAATGTCCGACTTCAGTTCAGGTCATGATCTCATGGTTCGTAGGTTTGAGCCCCGCATGCAGCTCTGTGCTGACAGTGTAGAGCCTGCTTGGGATTCTCTCTCTCTCTGCCCCTACCCTCATTTGCATGCTCTCTCTCAAAATAAATAAAGTTAAAAACAAACAAAGAATGCTGAAACAGGTGGTCCCCAGGCTAAGCTCTGAAAAACACTCTGTTGTTTGGAGAGTGGGGAAGTCCCATCATTACTGAAGTCTCCCCTAGGTCACTCCAGAGAATAGAATGATGCCAAGTGCAGTATGCTCCAGCGGTTCCCTAAGTTCCATGGCTCAGAATAGAACAGAACCCACTAGAAAGCCTGATATTAAACTTAACAACAGCACGTGGGGAATAAGAGGAGGATTCCCAAGATTCCTGTTTGACTGTCAAACAATACCTAGGATGGGAATGGCCTTACTAGACTGGATGCCTTCCAGATCTGGCAATAAGGAGACTAAAGGGAATCCCAAGGGGAGAAAAAAGAGGAACTGAGACTGGCTTCTGATAAAGGAATAGAGACAGTGTGGGCTGTTTTCCTGCTAGGGGAAGGAAAGGGATGAGCTTAAGTCTAAAGTCACGCTAAGCCTGTATAAGGAAGCAACACACCCGGTTCTTGTCTCGGTTCCACTCTGACCTCTGACCAGGAGAAATCCTCTAGACCATTTAAACCTGGGGGCTTTTGTACCCACATCTGATACACGGGAACAACACTCCTCACCTTCCCCTCTCTAATCTCTGAACATGATCCCTCAGCTCTGACCTCCAAACCCCTTGTTTCAAACCAAAGGACGTCCTTTCTTGGCTCATTGTGTGACCAGTTCCTTCTTTTCCGGTTTTTAAACCCGACCCTTACTCTCCAGGTCCAGACCCCGGGAACTTCCCGCTCTCCTTCCTCTGATCCCTGACCTCAGCCTTTCCGTCTGTAACTTCTCAAACCTAGGAACTTCTCTTTGTGCTTATCACACCTTGGAACTCACCCTTGAGCCGCCCGTCCCGCTACAGTCCTTGGCCCGGTACTGAGTCCGGGAGAATTCCTCCAGCAGCTCCCCGAGCCCTGGCTCCTGAGGCGGCGGGTTGCCCGAAGAAGCCGAGGGCCCCGCTGAGGCGGCAGCGGCTGCCCTAGCGCCGGCCATGGCCCAGCCCTGCTTCCCCTTCAGCACCCCACGACCCCTCAGCGCGCCTCAGCCCTGCCCATGGCACCTGGAGGCACCAACTCCGAAACCTCCCGAACAGCCTCAGCCGCCGCCTTCCCTTTCCACTTCCGGCCCCGCCCCACCCTGCCGGATGTTTACTTCGGCCCTGGCCAATCCGAGCCCGGGACTCGCGCCCTGCCCCGTTATTACCGGCCCACCTCCAAATGCGGAGCGATCCAAGTGGTCTAGGGAGAGGTAGCCGGGGCAACTCGTAGATCCCTCTTGCTCCGCCCCTCGGGGTTTCCCCTGGGGAAGCCGGGGTAAACCACTGAGGCTGCGGGAGGGGTGTTAGTACGGGAACGAGGAGGAAGGAACTATGGGAAAGAAGAGGAAGACTGGAATAAACCATTGCAGGAAGAGGAAGAGGGAACGCTTGAAGGCAACTAGTTAGTGTTGGCAATCATAGTAATAATAGTAAGTTATAATAAAACAGCATTTCATAAGGCACTTCTTTTTGCACTGCTCCTCAAAACGTCCTTGTGATTATAATGCTCCTATAGTCAACCCATTTTATCAAAGGAAACGGGAGTCATAACTGTGTTAAAATTCTATACTTGAAAAGCACCATATTCTTTTTTCTTTTTTTGTTAATGGAATATTTGAAACATTCAAAGAAGTGGCGAGAATAGTATAATGACCCCCTCATGTATTCATTCGTCAGTTTCAGCAATAATCAACATAAACCAAACGATTGCTTAATCTTTCCTCATTCAGTAGAATAATTTTGTAGCAAATCTCATTACTTCATGGGTGAATAGTTCATCTCTATACAGAGATTATACTATACTATACATAGTATTCATCTCTAACAGATTATCACTGTTACAAAATGATTTTTTTTGAGGGGGCATCTGGGTGGCTCAGTGGGTTAAGTGTCTGACTTCAGCTCAGGTCATGATTTCGTGGTTCGCAGGTTCAAGCCCTGCATCATTGGGCTGCTGACACCTCAGAGCCTGGAGCCTTCTTCAGATTCTGTGCCCCCCTCTCTCTCTCTGCCCCTCTCCTGCTCACACTTTGTCTCTCAAAAATAAACATTTAAAAATTTTTAAAAATTGATTTTTTATTTTTTTATTTTTTTAAAATTTTTTAACGTTTATTCATTTTTGAGAGACACAGACAGAATGTGAATGGGGGAGGGGCAGAGAGAGAGGGAGGCACAGAATCCCAAGCAGGCTCCAGGTTCTGAGCTGTCAGCACAGAGCCCGACGTGGGGACCAATCCCACGAACTGTGAAATCATGACCCCAGCCGAAGTCGGAAGCCCAACCGACCTAGTCACCCAGGCGCCCCCAAAAAATGATTTTTTTTTAAAAAGACAACTTAGGTGTGTTAAAAAAACAAAATTCAACAAAGTAAATTTGGCGTTATTCAACCATTCATGAACCTGGCAGCATACCAGGTAGCAAGTAGAAAGGCGCTCAGGGGAACTGTACAAAATGGAAGGATTTTATAGTCAGAAGGAAGATGGGGCAAGGAAGTTAAAAGAGTGGAACATTTCAGCCAAGTTTACCTTTCCTTAGGGGAAGACAAAGGGTCTTATCGTGCAGATTACCTCACTAGTGCTGACTAGGAAATTGCCGAATAATTGGTTCAAAATTCCACCCCTGGGAGAAGCTGAAACTCCAACTAGGTTAGGCTTTAAGTCTTGATGATGCTAAGCAAAACTGACTCCATTTGGGGGCTTATTGTTTCTTTTTAACCGGTAATACAAACTGTATTTAGTACCTCATGAAGCTGTAGTCTCTGTTCCCAAGGTCCAGAGAACTGCAAAATGGGGCAGGAGGCAGGAAGACTTTATAGGATAAAGAATAAGTAACAAGGAAGAGAAAAAATAGAAAATAAATAAGAAAGAAGGAAGGAAGTATAGAGCCCAGAGTTGGCCGGTAGCCGGGGCACAGGGATGAAAGGGCACCTGTCTCTGGGGGTCCTAAACAGACCAGGTTTATCCACTCACTGCTGACAAAATCTAAAGGCAGAGCAATGAGTAGTAGTGAAACAAGAGAGGAATTTATTTCATTGAGGGGAAGACGGCGGACTAGCATCTCAAAGATCTCAAAGACTCTCGAAGTGCTGAAAGTATTTCCAGGTTTATATAAGGAAAATGTGGGACAAAGTTCGGTGGGTACCTAAGGCAGTAAAGGTGTGGTCAAGCATTGTCATGGGTGGGATCTGGCTGGCTCAGGGCACTCCTTATTGCTTCAGGAGGTAGTTTTGGTTCCCATAAGTGGATACTTTGTCTGCAGGGTCTTTTGCTTGAGTTGTGTAATAAGCTGGAAAGAAGAATTTAATCAATTAGAAAGTTTGAAGTCAAAATGGAGAGAGTTGAAGTCCTCTTTCAGGGTTGGCATTTGGGGATTGGCTAAATCTAATGTGTTTCTGGTCAAGCAGAGTATTTACAGGGACATGAAAGTTATCTGAGTTTCAGTTTGTTAACCTGGTACCCCAGGCAGGAATGACTGTACCTTGGGCCTAAAAATTGATTCCCCCTTCCGCTTTTTTGATCATTCCTTTGAATGGTTTGATTTAAAAAAAAAAAATCAGTATTAGTGTGACTCTTAGTTACCATGGTCTCTACAGGTCTCAGTATAATATACACAAGAGATGATGTCAGGATTGTATTCTTGGAACTGGTTTCATCCTTCTGTTCTCTGTTGTCATTCCAGTTGGAGAGAGATCATTTGGTGGATGACCAATGGCTGCACACATGCATTTAAAACTTTGAGAGAATGTAGTGTGTAGGGAGACAATAGTAATTATTACCAGCCAAACAATATTCATGATCCAAAGCAGCTAGAATATTGAGGATACTTCTTCTTTTTTTTTTAATTTTTAAATTTATTTATTTATTTTAAGAGAGACAAGGGTAGGGGCAGAGAAGAGGGAGAGAGAGAATCCCAAGCAGGCTCCACACCATCAGCATAGAACCCAATGTAAGACCCAATGCAGGGCCCGAACTCACAAACTGCAAGATCATGACCTGAGCCAAGATGAAGAGTCGGACACTTAACTGACTGAGCCACCCAGGCACCCCTGAAGATACTTCTTTTTTTTTTTAATTTTTTTTTCAACGTTTATTTATTTTTGGGACAGAGAGAGACAGAGCATGAATGGGGGAGGGGCAGAGAGAGAGGGAGACACAGAATCGGAAACAGGCTCCAGGCTCCGAGCCATCAGCCCAGAGCCTGACGCGGGGCTCGAACTCACAGACCGCGAGATCATGACCTGGCTGAAGTCAGAAGCTTATCCGACTGCGCCACCCAGGCGCCCCAATACTTCTTTAAGCCAGTTGACTTGTTTACGTATTTTGTGTATTTCACATGTCTCCACTTCCCCAGAGGTGTTTATCTAGCAACATTGTTCCGGAGAAACTGAGGCGTTGGAAATCAGGAAGAAGTTTGTCACAAGCAGAAAGAACTATATAGGATTACCAGCAGCATAGCAAATCCAACAATTGATTTACCTTCCTTTATAATGGCCTGAGATATGTGCACAGTGGCATTGTCTTTACAGGCCAAGGAGAAGGTAAAAGGTGAAGAAAAGAATCAAAATGTAGAGGCTGCTTTTAGGCAAACAGACTTGAAAAATGGAATGTAGAAATGGCCCACGGTGACCCCCTGGCTGAGTACAGACTGGCCCATCAGAGGACCCACTTCAAAAGATCCATAGACCCTAACTACGCAATGGGCTACTTACTACCAGACACAGTTAAACAAAAATGGGAAAATTCCATAGATCACCAGACCTCGTCACCTTCCTCCTTTAAAAACAATCCCCACCCACTGTCTCATTGTAGACAGTCTCTCCTCTGCTGTCCTACCTGATGCTTCCTTGTGGTGTATTCAATAAACTTTTATCTCCTTTGTTTTGCCTTGAGTTAATCCTTTCATGACCAGTACAACCAACTTCCACCTGATTGTTGCCCTACATTTGGGGGAGCCATCTGATCCAAGACAGACACCATAATAAAGACCTTTATACTGTAAGAATTAGGAAAAGAATGGTCAGAAAGGGAAGGAGGAATGGAAAGAAATGTCTTAGATCCTGATGCAGTTTTGGAGTGGTGGGGGGCCAGAGCTGACGGCCAAGAAAGAATTCTTGAGATGTCTTTGGTGCAAAAAGGTGATATTATTAAAGCGTGGGGTCAGGACCCATGGGTAGAAAGAGCCGCACTGGGGTTGTGAGAAGTGACTGATTATATATACTATGGACTTGGAGTTCCTAGAAAAATGTTATTATTCTCTGCCTGTCTCAAGTACTTGTCAATGGGCTACAGGTTATAAAGTAATTTAATTTCACCTACCATTTCCTTCTTGCCTTTGTTCCTCACATCACTATGAAGGGGAGGGTAATGTTGGGGCTCCAGGAAACTGAGTCTATGGGTTTCTGGAGGTTAGGCTATTGGTAAGATTGCCTTTTTCTCATAATATACTAAGACTGATGGAGGGTCAGGTCCTGTTTGACTGTGATCTCTTATCAGTTAATCATTTGTCTTCTCCTTCTCTTAGCATTTTTTTTTTCAACGTTTTTTATTTATTTTTGGGACAGAGAGAGACAGAGCATGAGCGGGGGAGGGGCAGAGAGAGAGGGAGACACAGAATCGGAAACAGGCTCCAGGCTCCGAGCCATCAGCCCAGAGCCTGATGTGGGGCTCGAACTCACGGACCGCGAGATCGTGACCTGGCTGAAGTCGGACGCTTAACCGACTGCGCCACCCAGGCGCCCCCCCCCCCTTCTCTTAGCTTTAGGGCAGCCAGGAGTGCCTGAGAAATGCCACACTATCCCCCCCTGGGGTGGGGGAAGGAGGTCAGCTTACCTTATGCTCCCTCATCAATCTAACTTCTTGGGAGAAAGCAGCCTACCTTGATTTCAGCTACTTCTCCTCCTAGTCAATTTGATTTTGAGGTCTTTAGCATTCACACAGGACCAAATGTCAGATGTGGCCTTCTTCAGTTGTGAAATATGCACCCAACTTTTGATACCTGTGAGAAGTAAGAGAGATGATTAGCTTTCAGAAATACCAAATAAAAGCTGTGCTGTCTAGTTACTAGTAGGTTTACAACCTATTGGAAATATGTATAAACCCCACCCACCACAATGAAGTCCCAAGCCCTTAGACACTTCACCTCCTGGTCCTTTTCCCCCTCTCTGTTTCATGGGCTTATTTTTGTTGGCTTTGCAATGGGCATCTGCGAAAGAACAAAGGGAGGAGTCTCTGCATCACCTCAGGGAATATACATTTATTCCAATCATACAGCTTTTTGCCTTACATGGGCATAGGTGACATCTGGGTAAGCTGTAAACCTCTGTAGTATCAGCCAATAATGAACCAGAGGAGGGACTTGCATACTAGGAAATAAATTGTCTGCTGTAACTTCCCCGAGTGTGCCTATCCACCAGACACCGCTCTTGCAAGAACATTGATTAAAACCTCACTTCACTGTGCTCCGAGTCTTTGCATCCCTCCTTTGATTGGGTCGATGCACTTATTTCTAACAATAATTTGGCAGTGATGTCAATGGTCAAGAATACTTGGTGGGGTCCTTTCCATGAATCTCACTTCTGCAAAAGCATTAGAGTGCAAATGACAAAAGACTTAAAAATATCCATGCTTAAAGATCTGAAGATTCTTTTTTTAAGTTTATTCATTTTTGAGAGAGACAGAGTGTGAGCAGGGGAGGGGCAGAGAAGGGAGACACAGAATCCAAAGAAGGATCCAGGCTCTGAGCTTTCAGCACAGAGCCTGACATGGGGCTTAAACTCATGAACTGTGAGATCATGACCTGAGCTGAAGTCAGACGCTTAGCCGACTGAGCCACCCAGGCGCCCCTGATCATTCTTTATTATGATGGAATCAACAAGGAAATTTGGTTATTTCTAGTGAGGGAGCCAAAGGCAAGCTGAGGGCAAAGCACAAGCTAGTAACTGTTCCCTGCTATGGGATTCGTGTGATGATCCTCAGGCATTCCTGTCTGCCCAAGAACAAAGGAAACGGAAAAACAAACAGTTAACTCATAGAGATCAGTCATGCAGGACCTGAGTCTCCATCAGTTTACATATGTCTTAGTAAATTACGAGACAAAGGCAATCTTATCAATAGCCTAACCTCCAGAAACCCATAGACTCAGCCTCCTAACATCAGCCTAACATCATCCTTCCCTCCATAGTGATGTAGGAACCAAAGGCAAGAAGAAAATGTAAATAAAATTAAATTTCTTTATAACCTGCAGCCCATTGGAAAATACTTGAGGCAGGCTGAGTGAAACACTTCTCCAGGAACTCCCTACTGTCTTAATGCTTTGCTAGAGGGAAAAACAACCTTAGCTTGACAATAGCTAGGCCTCCAGTATCTTAGGAGCCCTCTTTAGCTCCTAAAGCTCTTGCATATGGAAGTCCTTTCAAAAACTTCCCTTTTGCCTTGACCTCCCCCAAATCCATAGTATATAATCAGTCACTCCTCACAACCCCAGTGCAGTTCTTTCTGTCCATGGGTCCTGTCCCCCTGCTTTAATAAAATCATTTTTTTGCACCAAAGACATCTCAAAAATTCTTTTTTGGCCGTCAGATCCAGACCCCCACCAGCACTCCAAAACCACATCAGTTTCTATGACACAAAACATTTTAAGATGAAACTTGAAATTATAACTGGTAACATTAAACCAGGGCCTATCAGATTTTTAGGACTTTTATACAAGTTCTGGAACACTTATGTTAATAACATAACCATACAAATATAAACTAAGAAGATTAAACATCACTTCCTATTTGGCATGCTTACTTTGTTATTTAATAAATCAAATAAGCATTATTAATAAACACAATTTAATAAACCAAATAAGCATTATTAACATTTCCCTTTTTATAGGGAGAGAGAACAGATCTTTTTTGAGATGTTCCAGAGACCCTCTGAAATTCTCAAAGTTAGTTCAAGGTAAACAACAACAACAACAACTATAACAACTTCATTTAGAATTTTATTTGGGAGAGGTTTGTAAAAGATGATCTGTTTAGGGGCACCTGGGGGCTCAATCAGAGGAGTGTGCAACTCTTGATCTCAGGATCGTGAGCTTGAGCCCTATATTGGTTGTAGAGATGACTTAAATAAGTAAAGATTTTGGGGCGCCTGGGTGGCTCAGTCGGTTGAGCGACCAACTTCAGTTCAGGTCATGATCTCACGGTTTGTGGGTTCAAGCCCTGCGTTGGGCTCCGTGCTGACAGCTCAGAGTCTGGAGCCTGCTTCTGATTCTGTGCCTCCCTCTCTCTCTGCCCCTCCCCGACTCACACTCTGTCTCTCTCAAAAATAAAATAAAATGTTTTTAAAAAATTAAAAAAAAAAAGAATGGGGCTCAGGAGCCTGGGTTCAAATCCCAGCACCACCAATTCTCAGCTGTGTGACCTTGAGCAAGTCACTTGATCTCTCTGAGCTAATAAAGCACCTGCCTCATAACGTTGTTGGAAGATTTGAATGGCTTACCTATAGAGCACCTGGTACAGTGCCAGGCACACAGTAATTGCTCAGTACACGTGGGAAGAAAAAAAATCAAAGCCTTTCTAAGGGGGCAACTTTTTATTATTTTATTTTATTTTATTTTACTTTATTTTACTTTATTGTTTGTTTGCTTGTTTGTTTATTGTAGGCTCCACGCCCAACATGGGGCTTAACTCTGAGGACTCTGAGATCAAGAGTCTGCACCCTGTACCACTGAGCCAGCCAGACCCCCCAGGAAGGAGGCAACTTTTGAACTGAGACCTAAATAATGAGAAAGAATGGGCTGCATGAAGATCTGTGAAGATCCTTCTGGGTGGAGAAACAGCCAGAGAAAAGATCCTGAGGCAGGAGTGAACTTACCGTGTTTGAGAAGGAGAAGGGATGCTTTTGGGAGCTGGAGAGGCAAGGCTGAGGGTGAGAAGGGCTGATCAGTGGTAGGAGAGATGGGAACGGTCAGCTCATGAAAGGGTGGGCTTGGAGGCTTAAGCTGGGAATTCAGAATTTATTTAAAGGACAAGGAGGAGCTGCTGGAGAGGTTCCAGTGAGGGGGGGAGGGGTGGTTCGGGGGGTGACATGGACTCTACCTGTTTGGAACAATTATGGTCTGGCTTCCATGTGGAGAATGGATTTGGAGTGAGGGTGAAAGCAGAAAAACCCGCTAGAAGCTTTACCCAGAACATGTGCAGAACCTGGGACAAGAGTACCAATGGAGGACCCTGTACCATGTGTATAAATACTTAACAGTTATATCAGGTAGGGAAACTGTTTAATAAAACATGTTCTCTCCTCCTACCTTGACACTATACCTTCGTAATGTCAAAATTGAAAAATGTGTATAAAGCCAATTTATATGACTGAAAGCACAATATTGAAGATGGCTGGATTTAATTATTGTGAATTGTATAAGTGTTTTGTTCATAGAATAATAAGATGATACATAATTTATAAGTAATTCTGGGGGGCACCTGGGTGGCTCAGTCGGTTAAACGTCTGACTTTGGCTCAGGTTGTGAGCTCAGAGTTCATGAGTTCAAGCCCCATGTTGTGCTCTGTGCTGACAGCTCAGAACTTGGAGCCTGCTTTGGATTCTGTGTCTCCCTCTTTCTCTGCCCCTTCCCTGCTTGTGCTCTGTCTTTCTCTCTCTCAAAAATAAATAAACATTAAAAAACTTTTTAAATAAAAAAGATAGATAATTTTGTATCGATTCTAGTAATTTTTTTTCTTTCTGTCCATTCAGAAATATCACTAATAATTCTGTCAGGTTTTTCATGTAATGTGTCCTATTGACAGGAGCCCAATTATAGGGTTAAAGATTTATTCAAAATACATGAAATTTGAGTTATTTTCATCCAAAATATAATTTAGGCAAATGTAAAATATTATAATTAAAAATTTTAATTTTTCATGTATGCTTTCTCAAAAGTTCTTTTTCTCCTAAAATATGCAAAATTGTTAAAGTTTTAAGGCAAAATATAATTATACTAAGTGAAAGCTAAATTTTAAAATCAAGGGGCACCTGGGTGGTTCAGTTGTTTAAGCATCCACGTCTCGATTTCGGCTCCGATCATGTCATGATCTCACGCTTTCTTGAGTTCGAGTCCCGCTTTGGGCTCTGTGCTGTCAGCGCGGAGCCTGCTTGGAATTCTCTGTCTCCCTCTCTCTCTGCCCCACCCTGCTATCTCTCTCTCTCTCTCTCAAAATAAATAAGCATTAAAAAAAACTTTAATCAAAATCATTTAAAGAAATCTGAAATTACTGTTTGAAAATTTGTTAAAGTAACGTAATTTGCGACCCTGGTTGCAATACCAGGGTCCGTCTCATTGCCTGTGTGGAGAATCGGTATCACATGTCGTTCACGTTACATCTAGACAAACATGCATGTAAAATTAAGAGTAATAAAATTGTCAGTACTGCAAAATGTTTCTCAGATACCATGTGCAACTCTTGTGAATATAGAAGTAATTTCTGAGCACTTTCGGAACCAGAGAAAAGAACACAGAAAGCAGCAAGTTATGGTCGACTGTGCGGTACAGTGTTTTGCCATGCGAGAATCTATTACATTCATGCTCAGACAAGGGGAAGAATTTGACAAACTAATTGATTTGTCTTCTCTCTTATCCAAATGATTCCACCACTCAAATCCTCCCTACGATCGGAAACTGTCTGTCTTGAATGTAAGCAGTGGCACAAGCTACTGAAAACCATCTGAATGTGGTATTTTTTTTCTTTAGAGTTATGGACGAACTTGCCCTGAGTCATGAGAGTGGATGTGTAGGATTATAGGCTGAACAGTTCTAGGACTAAGCACCAGCTCGTCAATAACAGAAGGGTCTGTGTGTTCTTTACCCAAGTTTAATGTATGTTTGTGATATATATGCTCCATATATCATATCCATAAAACATGGACCAAGAGCAAGGGTCCCTCTTTCCTGGTTTTAAGGAAATACTGCTATCTAGGAGGCTTTTGTGGTCACCTGGGAGAGGGCTACGAGGA